GTAACGACGTTCGTCTTGTCTCGTGTCTCTTCGGTGGTACGTAGCTCTCTCCACACGAGCAGACACCAGACCTCCTGCTTGACTCTCGGCGATACGGGTGGGGGGGTAAGAAGCTTCCGTTGGGTCCCAGTGACAGCCAGCACCCAAATATCCAGGGGATTCCAGCCCCTAGATGCCGAGTCATTTCCAGCCAGTCTAGTCTAGTAAAGGGTGGTCCTGCTGAAGACAAGCAACGCCCATGCTCCCTTTCAGAATTCACGGCCCAGAGTCCATGTGCTTAATAAAACAGCTGTTTTACACCATTAAGTTTGGATGGTTTGTTACACAGCAGAAGCTATTTAGAGCTATCGGTCTAGATCTAAATTAGGAGTTGGGATTAGCAGACACTAACTACTATATACAAAATAGATAAACAACAAGGACCTACTGTATAGCACAGGGAACTACATTTGATTTCTTATAATAAGCTATAATGGAAAAGAATCTGAAAAGAAAAACTATATATGTATGTGTGTATATATCACTTTGGTGTACATGTGAAACTAACATTGTAAATCAACTACACTTCAATAAAAAAATAAAATATTTTAAAAGTATCTAGAACATCTACTTAAACAGAATAAGTTGTCCAAAAATCAAACACATGAAAAGCAAACCCATAAAACTGGACAAATTTTGAGGCTTATAGGGTCTTAGCATTCACCCGGCTGAATTCTTCCTTTTTACTGAGAAAGCATTTGAGGCCAGGGAAACTCCAGGGCTACCTGGTGAGACAGACTGGGGTTGAGATCCCAGGTCAAGTGCTTTCACGTTCCTCTTTCAATGTCTGGAAAGGCTTCGCTGGACTCCATCCATGTGACAAGGTAGCAATGCCCTACCGCTGAGGGCCTGGCATGCTCGGCGCACTCTTCCTACGTGAGCTCATCCAGTCTTCACAACAACGCTATGAGGTCAGTACCACAAAAACCCCCAGTATGCCGATGAGGACACCGAGGCACAGAGTCAGTGACTTGCTAGCATACTCGTGGAGCCAGGACTGGCCCCGGCAGCCTGGCTGCTGAGTCCACGCTGAGGAAGCAAAGGAAAAGCAGTGCGTGAAGGGGCCTCACCTGATGGGGCTGATGGGGGACGGGAGGGCCTTCCTCTCACGCTCAGGCAGAGGCTCCCAGTGGAAATCCAGTTTCCAGTCCAACACCCCACGCTGCAGGTCCTTAGAGGGGTAATACTGGAAAGTCTTCCAGTCAATCACGTCTAGGACAGGAGACACTACCCTGCTCCTGGAGAGAATCATAGGATCAGATAAGGGATACAAACCCTTTGCCTGCCGGGGGACAGAAACGTGATCTAGACACGTGCTGCCCAACACGGCAGCCACCAGCCATACGCAGCTATTGGGGACCTAAAATACAAGCTGTCTGAGCTGAGATGGGGTGTAAATGTGAAATACACCCTGGATTTAGACGACTTGGTATGAAAAAAAGATGCAAAAATCTCATTAATTTTCATATCGATAACACGTTGAAAACATTTTGGATATACTGGGTTTACTAAAATACTTCATTAAAATTAATCTGTTTCTTTTTATTTTGTAATGTGACTCCTGGAAAGGTTTACATTACATCTGTGGCTCGTGGTATATTTCACCTGAACATCATTGTTCTAGAAAATATGTTTTTCCATAAAGAATTCGGGGTCCATTTCTTTAAAGAGCACGCCTGCCCCTTTCTTTCTTTAAAAGCGTCTCTTGACAAAACTGAGAGGCAGGAGGATGGGGTCCTAGGCTCAGCTCTGCCACTAATGCACTAATGTGCTGTGTGATCTTGAGATGGCTGTTGTACCTCTCTGGGCCTTGGTTTCCTCACTTGTGAAATGGGAGGTTGAACTACTTCCCACAGAGTTCTTTCTCAATCGTAATGCTCTAAGACTGTGGTACTTGACTTCTTTTGGGGTCTTAGATCCCTTTGAGAATCAAGGGAAAATTATGGACCCCTCCTCAGAACAATAATCATATGCACATATACAAAATACTGTGCACGATTTCAGAGGGTTTGCGGGCCCCTGCTCCGGGGTCTAGTTCCTGCTCCACCCTGCACCGTGAAACCTGATTGGCTTGAGGAATCAGGACTGTCGAGTCCTGGAAATGTCCTCGATGTTAATGCGTGTGTATGTGATCAGGTGTCCTGAGTCTGGGTTTCTTTGCTCGTTTACTGTTGCTGTTGGTGAATGTACCTTTTTTTTCTTTTAATGGAGCTGGGGATTGAAACCAGGAGCTCGTGCATGCTAAGCACACGCCCTGCCACTGCGCGATACCCTCCCCTAGCAGTTGTACCTTATCCCAATTATTTTGTACAGCTTCAGACTACGTGACCTCAGAGAGGGTGATGTGAAATATTGGAACAAGTCAGAAATGCCACCTTTGAACTAAACAGGTAATCACTCAGGTGTACCAGGAGCTGCTCTCCACCTAGTCAGTATCTAAATCACATTTTTTTCCTGGCCTCTCGAGACAGTTTCTTCTAAAATCTGTACCATAGAATGAATCAGACCCGAGCTCAGGGGTGGCTGGAAGGTACCAGTCTAAGAAAAGTAAGATTCTTGGAAAAGAAATGCCAGCCATGCTATTTACACTCCCCTCAGTTTCCACCTGGGTTCCACCCACCTAGCAGACAGCCAGGGCGGGCACAAGCCCAGGCCACACGGAGAGGGCCAGGGTGGTCCTGGGATTCAATCACATGCTTAATCTGTGGCCTTAAGTCACGGGTCTTGGGGTGAAGAGTCACGGGGTTTCCACTGAGAGCAAGGATCTTGATATACTTTTCCTGCCCATTTCACACTGTTTCCTCTGGAAGCGAAAGGAAACTGAATCCTGGCCTCCACTCGTTTTGGGCACCTCACACTGACCTCAGAAAACTGAAAGGCAAGGGCAAGGAAGCAAGCCGGGCGCCCACCCAAGTCTCCGCTTGCCGTGGACGGAGCTGAGCAGACGGGACGGCTCTGGCTCTCAGCAACGCATTTTTGTGGAATTTCAGCAGCAAGAGCCAGGGAAGCTGTGTGGCTGAATTCCGAAGAATCCCATCAGGTCGGCGGCGTCTGAGTCATCGTAAGAGGACAAGAAAGGAAACTGCATTCGAGCATCCACACGATCAATTCGTCCCAGACCTCTGAGCAGCGTCCTTCCTGATAAAGTCGTATGTTCCTTTTCATCAGGAAACGAGCACCTAGACTTCATCACGTTCCTTTTTGCTCTGTCTTGCTGAAGCTCAGAGTCGCGTGTAAAGCTCCCTTCTAATAACTTGTACTGCCCTCGATTTCCAACACCGTCTTTTTTTCCCTTTCTGAAGTCTCCTCTTCCTTCTCTTTCAGCCAGATACAGAGGTGATTAATCCTAAGCCTCTTTGAGTGCATTTTGGGTCAAGACAAATAATAAAATGTCAATGAATGAAGTGAAAGATGTTTTCTGTTTTGGTTTTTATTCCCATGAACCACAGCTTCTGCCTAACCAGGGCTGAATTAGGAGTAACTGCAGTGTAGGGACTCAAAAAAAAAAAAAAGCATGATTAAAAAAAATCAGTCTTATATTTAGCCTTGTGTTTTGAATCTACTGCTGTATCTGGTGTTCTTGGAATTCACTTAGAGCAGAATAGCCAAGCTTCCCGGTCTGACTTGGAAGGAGCTTGGAGATCCTCCCAAGGACCATGAGGCTGTCACTTGTGAACTGAGTTTTAATTCTCAGGCAGACACGGGGTCCAGCCTCTCCTAAGCCTTGCTAAGCCCCAGGAGGTCAAGTGTTTGGGTTTCAAGAGACAAGCAGAGGCTGTGGAGCGCTCCACAAAGACTGTTTAACCGAAGTATGTGAGGTCAGCCGAGAGACCCCTGTCCAGAGAGCCAAAAGCTAACTGTGGTTGCAAACTCACCAAGCAAACCTTGGGCCGCAGGGAGCAGTGAGCCTAGTTTGCGTCACCCCTTTTTCTTTTTCCTGAGCCTGGATGCCGCTCCATCGGGTCTGCAAGGTGCAAAGTCATTTTGCAAGTTCATGCCAATTCTCGGTGTTTGTGGAAAGTATCTTGACCTGAGAGGCAAAACGCCCTGAATTCCCTTTTCAGACCTCTTCCTGCTCAGGGGCAACCCCAAGACCGGTGCCGGCGCTTCAGGACTCTGCCATGCTGAGTGGTGTGGAATCAGGCGGGGGCTGGAGAGTTTCCTGGGGGGTGTCAGACCCAAAGAAGGCTGTTCCCTCCGTGGGGCTAGAGGCATTTTGTTCCCCGTGCCCCAATCCTGCTGCTCCACAACACACACACATGCACACACACTCACACTCACACGGGACTTCTCAGACCACCATCCATCACTTAATGGCAGAGAGGCGCAAGGTACTCTGGTCTCTGACTGGCCTTGCTTTTCCCTATTAAGCCGTGTCTGAGAACCAGGTAACCTTCAGAACTAGATGTCCCCAAGACAGGTGCCCAGACCAATCTTCAAGTGGGAAACAGCCTGGACAGCCTCTTGAGCCAAGGACAGCCCTAAGAGTGTGTGGCCTCTCTCCCTTTGGAAATCTTCTTTTCTTTTTTTTTTGGGCCATAACTCTTACTCCTCAGCCTGGGTACCAAAGCTGGCAGTCAGCACAAGACAGTTGGCAGCCAGGACAGCAGTTATCTTCAACTTCATCTTTGTTACTTTACGTAGAACCTGGTCACCCATCAGTACCTCCTAGGACCTCCCTAAAATCACTGCTCTTGAAGAAACTCTATCTGGGGCTGCTATGTACAGATACCCAGGTAGTGCACTGCTCAATCCTAGAGAATGTCTCAAGTATCAGACACGTAAATGTGCATATTTATTTCTAAATGCTTAATTAGCATTAAAGTGACTGGTTCTAACAAGATGGCTGTATGATGACACATCTTCTGAGGGATGAGAGTAAAAAGGTCATGAGGAACAGACTCCTTTCCCTGACTGATACAAAATTGCCATATGGCTTTCAGCAGACCTGTTTTGGGGAACAGGGGCAGGGAACCAGGGCCAGTAATCAGGCCTGGAATTCTCTGACCAGGGAAGAGAATTGAGGAAGTTGTGACTATGCAATAGCTGTTTGCTCACCATTCCCCTTCACTTTTTTTTTGTTTGTTTTTAGTTTTATTATTCTTTTAATCAATTTGGATTAAATTGGGGGGGAGGTAATTAGGTTTATGTATTTAATGCAGGTGCTGGGGATTGAACACAGGACCTCGTGGATGCTAGGCACACGCTCTACCACTGAGCTACACCCTCCCCGCTACCTCCGCCTTTTTAATGAAAGTGCTTCAAGACCTTAGCTTTGGGCGCAGTGGGTCCTCACTAGGTGACAGAACATCTCCCGCTGTAAGCCTCAGAGGCACTGCGCCCCCTTCCTCTCTTGAAGAGCAGCAGCTATGAGAGCCGGCGCCCAGCGGGCTCCACAGCTTTCCCGTACACGGGGTGAGCTGCCACGAGAGTCGGTGGGAGAGCAGAGCAGACCCCGAAAGGGGACCCTCTCCCAGGCCTCAGCTGAGAACACTGAGGCATCACCATGTCTTCTCTCTCAGCCTGGGGAGAGCAACCCCCAGGTACGTGAAAGTGGTGCCAAGTGGGGGCAGCAGACACGGAGGACTCACTGTCATCAATGTTTTAACACATGTGTCACAGCCAGGGTGGGGTAGGGGTGACTACATGTTTTCCCCTAATCAACTTCTCCAGTCCTTAAATTAAAAAGTCATAAAGGGCAGTGGACCCAGAGTCAGAAAGCCTGACTCAGCGCCAAAGTCTGCAAGCCCTGGCACCTCAATTCATTTCGCTGAACCTCAATATCACCCTCTAAGAAACGAAAGCAAAAACACCCAGGCGACCTCTCACAGGGACCACTGAGGAATATATGCAAACATTCTCTGACGCACATCTCTGCAGTGCTCTCCTGGGGCAGTCTATTCAGGCAATAGAAATAAAAGCAAAAATAAACAAATGGGACCTAATTAAACTTACAAGCTTTTGCACAGCAAAGGAAACCATAAGCAAAACAAAACAACAACCTACAGAACGGGAGAAAATATTTGCAACTGATGCAACTGACAAAGGTTTAATTTCCAGAATATATAAGCAGCTCATACGACTTAACAACAACAAAAACCAAACAACCCAATCCAAAGATGGGCAGAAGACCTAAACAAACAATTCTCCAGTGAAGACATACAAATGGCCAATAGGCACACGAGAAAATGCTCAATGTCGCAAATTATCAGAGAAAGGCAAATCGAAACTACCATGACGTATCACCTCACACCAGTCAGAATGGCTGTCATTCAAAAGCCCACAAATGATAAATTCTGGAGAGCGTGTGGAGAAAAGGGAGCCCTCCTGCACTGCTGGTGGGAATGCAGTTTGGTGCAGCCATTATGGAAAACAGTATGGAGGTTCCTCAAAAAACTAAAAAGAGACTTACCCTATGATCCAGCAATCCCTGGGCATATATCCAGAAGGGACTCTAGTTTGAAAAGATACATGCACCCCATGTTCATAGCAGCACTATATA